ACGGGGGAAAAGGGGAGGGGAATCCTTTGCGCTTTTTGGTAGGGGGATTGAAGAGGGGAGGGAAAATGTCAAAAAGACATTGCGCAAACATTTCTGTCACGCGAGACTTCGCTCATGTCTGTGACGGGGAAGTAAATGATGTCCGTGCTTTCTTGTCATGAAAAAAAAACAAAAAAACAATGGATTTGTTACTTAGAGAATTCTGTCGTTGCTTGCACTTTTTCTCAGAAAATTCTCCGGGAAACTCTCCTAAGTCTTTTTGTTTTTGTTTTGTTTTGTTTTTCAGGACGTTTCCGCGCGCAGTAAAATCATCAATGGTGACACTAGGCCTCTGTTGTAACGTCCCTTTCGACAAAGCAATGTTATTACGCTGGAAGATGGACGTTAGAAGTTAACAACATTTTCGGATAGTACCAAACAAAGTAGTTGTAAACGACCCAAATTCAAGAAAGTCCAACTGCGAGTGTGTCGCCCGGACCCGTTTCGGACAGGATACTAGTGCTGGGCACTGAGTCGCTTTAGCAAAATCCGAATACTATATTAGTGCACCTCTTCGGTAAATAATATGTTATAAACCGCTTCGGCAAATGGGTTAGAACCACTTCGGCAAATGGGTTAGAACCACTTCGACAAACGGGTTAGCATCATTTCAACAAATGGGTGCACCCACTTCGGCAAACGGGTCAGGAAAAAGAGTTAAGAGTCTGAATTCGGATGTGGGTTTTTTTAGGATTTTCCGATTATTCGGATATTTATCCGGATTTTGCCCACCTCTACAGGATACCAACCGAGCTTAGAGCCAGCCTCTCCGGTAATGAGCGAGACTCGCCTCAGCAACACCTGCAGTTATCTTACAGGCTGATGAATCTAGACTGTCAGAGTTGTACAAGAACATAGTGCTGAATATATTTACATCACCGTCTCCTGGAAAGTTCGAAATGTGATCTCGAAAACGAAAACTGCCTTGAAAAGAGTAAAAATCGGAATTAGAGAAGACTGTACTCAGGCTATAAAAGAAGAGGTAGACCACGCAAAGATGGATCGAGGGAGTCAGGGGAACCTTGAGAAATTATAATATATTATCCCAATTGAAAGAGCTGCAGTGTTGACCTTCCATAGAAAACGGCATCTCCCCTCGACACTTTACAACAACAGAGGGTGAAAAAGTGTGATTTTTAAAAAGAAAACCCTCCCAATATTTTCCCAGGGGGACTGACAGACTGCAGTCCAACTGCACACTGATAGTAAAACAAATCTTATAAGAGCCTGGACTACTTAACAGAACACAGAGTTCGACGAATCAGGCTATTAAATGCAAACGGGCTCACCCCAAATCCTGTTTACCAGGAAATGAGTGCCCCCCCCCCAACCACCACCACCCACAAAGTACCAGCAAACGATTGATTGAATTCTGTCTTCCGGAAGAAATCGACATGCAACTCTGGCTAAGGACGAGGGGCGGCATTAAAGTTAGATTGTGATTTACCACACGAGACTTCACTTTATAGGGCTGTACAAAGGTGTGCTCATTTTGGTTTCCTTGTTGTTTTGTTAGGATTTAGTTCTGTTTTGTGCGTGTCGTGAAAAAATAAAACCCTCTCAAGAGTGGTGCTGTTTTCGTTTGAGTGTTGGTTTGTCTGTCTGTCTGTCTGTCTGTCTGTCTGTCTGTCTGTCTGTCTGTCTGTCTGTCTGTCTGTCTGTCTGTCTGTCTGTCTCAACTCTCAGGTTTGCTTCTGTGTAGATAGATGGATAGATAAATATATAGATAGATAGACAGAAAGATACATACATACATACATACATACATACATACATACATACATACATACATACATACATACATACATACATACATACATACATCATAGATCATAGATAGATAGATAGATAGATAGATAGATAGATAGATAGATAGATAGATAGATAGAGAGATCTCCAGTTTTGTGTAACGCTGGTTTGGTTTTACGGCTGGACACGTCAACAGGCGGCCGTGCTACAGACACATGCACATACTCGCTTTTCCTGGCACACGTTTACAGGATAGTGTGCACAAATCGAATTGCCACACACCACCCAACATACGCATACTCTCTCTC